TTTTGTAAATTTACTGACCATCTGTGGTGATAACATAGTCACTGGGTAAGATGTTATCGTACACTTGATTTTCTGCCATCTGTGCTTCTCTGTATTCCATGCTCAAAACATCTATCTGCATTTAATTCACGGGTGCAAAGTCTAGGTAGTGGCCTCTACTTCTCTCTTATGTGCAAACTCTAAGAACTCATTGCAGTGGCTCTTGCTGGATGAGTTTCTTTACCCGTGCATAGGGTACTTTCAAAAAGAGGCTTATTATGTAGGTTTGTCCTACATTTATAAATGTAGCGAATATTTGATTGTTCTGGAGATTACTTAACTACAAACCACAAGGTCTCCACAAGAACATAGGCTGCAACAATATCAGTTTGGATCTGAGCTCTTTGTATTACTTATATGTTTAGGAATGTTCCCTAGCTGTTTACTAACAGCATATTTGATGACTAGCTTACCATTATTATGGTTTTCAACTGTTGTTGACCTTCTCTAATGGTGAGTTCTTTTGCTATAATTTCTCCAGAAGGACAGATAGTTTGAGATGTTTTGAGATCTCCTGATTTCTGGAAGCTATCAAAGGGGTTCAAGAACAATTTTACAAGCATTGACTTGGTCTTTAATAAGTCAATTATGTTTGCCTATTGGCTGTAGCACATTTTGCTATGCCATAGCAGTTTAAAAAACGTTTGCATTAAAGTAACAGAAATATTTTCTGTTTGCTGCTATTGAATTAATCTCCACATATTTAGTGTATTGTTTATTACTTATGCTTCCTTTCAGCTTCAGATAAGATTCTGTAAACAGTTTTTAGGTCATCATTCAACTGAAGGTTTCTCAAACAGCTAATTGCAATTTACATCTACATATTTTAATTCCTTAGTATGTCTACCCAAGTGGAGGTCCAGATTACTCAGAGCATTTTGCTTAATTAAAATCGGTTCCATTTATTCTTACAAGTAATCAGCAGTAGGTTGAACATATTTTCACTTTGAAATAATATGTAGGTCAATAAATAGAAGTTAACACCACTGGCTGGCCTGATTTGCTTTAGCCGTATTTCAGCATGCTCCCTTAAACATTTGCAAAGATGAGGAGACAAACGAGGTATAGACTTGTTTAGTCTTATGCTTTAACAATTCTGGTGAGAATCCCTTCAAAGTTTTAATGCAATAGATTTCAATTTGTTCTAGAAGGGTTAAAAATGTTTTTGCACATAAGAGAGAAATGTTTATATATACCAAATGCCTATAGAGTTCTGATTTTTAGTGGTATTACCCAAGATAAATCTGTCTGACGGTGCCATATACAAAAATATGTAAAGTGAAACCATTTTTCTTATTTATCAAGTATATGAAAGCCTATAATATTGCAATTACATCTGTAAAATGCTTTAAATATAAAAACCTGGCTAACTCACTACATATGACTCTAAACAGATGTAATTGCAAATGAATTTCCACATCCTGGCCAAATGCATTGTAGTAACTGTCTTCCCAGCTCTTATAGTATATATATTATTTTGATGGTCTCATGTAATTTTCTTGATTCAAAATTTGTGATGAGATCACCCTCTCTTTGGATATATATAGTGGGAAGTCTTTGGACTTCAAGGTCTGATTTCTTTCTGTGACAGTAAATGGAATTAGTGAAATGTAGGCTAGATGGTTGAATAGTTTTGTGTTCATGAAGAGAACATTTTTTTGCATGCTTTGTAATCTTTAGCTTTATGAATGACGACACATTTTCTATACCCTCACACTGTTGCCTGTCTTGTGTAAGTTGGTGCTAGGGTATTCTCTTATTTTGATTTTATGGCACCAGTTGGTTTGGATCTTTACTTTTTACCCTTTTCATTTTTCAGTGTGTGCAAGGAGCTAGAGTCTTTGCAGATTTAGGTGAATGGGTAAACTTACTCTTAACTGTTTTTTAATATTTAGAAAAGTAGGATACATTTGATTATCAATACAGTTCTTGTTGATACTTCTTCAAAGTGTTTTAAATTTGTAATACTGGTTTTTAGCATCAATAAAATTGGCACACCTTTGTGTCATTTCTTCCTGAAGTGTGAATTCAATGTTTTGTAGATGTAGAATTGCATGTGGCCATTTTTCCAGACACACTGAAAAACTCCACCCTGACTCTAGAATAGAAAGCAATGTAATATTGTCCAATACAAATTATTAGTGAATTGAATCTATTTTAGGTTTTTATATATCAATGACAAGGCTTTACTAGGGTGCTGACATATATACTGCTGCATAAAAAACACCTCACTGCTGCCTGCTGTCACCAGTGTGAGTGAAGAGGAACTGCCTACTTGGATCTAAACTAGGGCCTTTCAGTCAAGTGATAGGCAGCAACAGATATTATTATTATTATTATACAAGATTTATATAGCGCCAACAGTTTGCGCAGCGCTTTACAATATAAGGAAGACATTACAATCACAATACAATTCAAGACAAGATGGTAAGGAGGGCCCTGCCCGTGAGGCCTTACAATCTAAAATATATCTCTGCATTTTCCAATAAACGTTGCAGTGTTTGTACAAATGTTCTGCCATATTAATCGTCCCTTCTTAATAATAAAGAACACTGTGGTGTCAGTAGTTCAAAATTGAGTTATCTTATTCAGTAGATGAATTATTGAAGGAAATAATTGTAATGTGTTTATAGAAAATTACAAATTTCTGTCTAGAAGTTAGGATGGAGTTTTTTTTCTTTCCCTTATTTTTTTTTCATGCCATTTATCATGTTGTTATATTCTACTGCCAGTCTCCCCTTAAAGGGAACAGTGTAGGCAAAAGTGCATTGAAATAATGAAATCTTTTACCAAGTTAACTTGGTTGTAACCCAGACAGTGATATACTAAATTTTGGTTCATTTAACAAGTTCTATAGTATAAGGTCATTGTTAACTTTGAACTGAAGTGACAATGTCTCTTTTTGACTTGAACTGCTTCAATTTTTTCCACAGTGATCACCATTAGAGAACTTTAAAGGACACATTCATTATTTTATTTTGGTTCTTTTTTTCATTTTATACGTTTTTAATCTGACACAAACTTTATTTTATAAATGCACATTTATAAACATGGCAAAGGACTGCTGTGAGCACCGTGAGTTGGCTAAAGAGACAGCACAGCAGAGCTATGTGCTTTGAGGCAATTTGTCTGATTAAAACTTTTAATTAAGCCCTTCAATAAGAAATTATTCAGTGGGGTGACTCATGGAGCTTTCATTAGAGAAACAACAGAAAGCCTTTAAAACCTGAAGAGGAGACTAGAGCGCCATGTGCTGACTCAAAAGAAGAACTTTTATTTGTTTAGCCCTGGCCATAATAAATGTGTTTTATGTACAAAACATTACCTTTTAATAGAATCTAAAAATACTCCAGAAACTAAAGTTAAAGTAAACCAGTTGTCAAATCTGAATGATTTAAACTGAGCTTATGATGAAGGAATGCGTAAGCAAAGATTGTTAGTTAAAACCTCATGTCAGAACAATACCTACACAACTCGACATTTCCTGTCAAACTCAAGCTCATTGACTTCCAAGCCTTGCAATTGGTCTGTGAGGCAACCCCTCATGTTAAAGAATCAACAAGAGTGCTTGAGAGCTGGAGAACTGGGCTAAACAACTTTTACAGGGAAAATCTAGATTTGCATATAACTTCTAACCTATAACTCCCCCATCTCTGTGCATACTCTCTTTGGCAGCCTCCCGTGGTGTTTACATCCTTCATGCAGAATCCAGGCATGCCCAGCATCCAGAGAGATTTGAAGGATGTAAACTCCATGAAAGACGTTACTAAAAAGGCATGTCCAGCATCCAGAGAGATTTGGAGGATGTAAACTCCATGGGAGAGATTACTAAACAGGCATGTCTAGCCTCCATAGAGATTTGGAGGATGTAAACTCTATGAGAGGCCTCTCCAGAGAGGTAAGCCTACTCTAGGGTTGGGTGGTTTTAGCATATATTAGCCTGGATAATTGGGAAGGGGGGCTGGGAGACTTTCTACAAAAAAGTGTAGTACTTTTCTTGTGCAAGTACTAGGAATGCCACAGACAACTATGAAGTTCAAACAGTCATTCCTTTGCTGTACTGACTTTCTATAGCCAACTCCTATGAAGTCCTATGAAGATCTTCCCATATTTCTTACAAATTTTGCAAGTGATTATAAAATGTTTGGTATCTTCTTGTAAATCTATTCCCTAACCTCTTGTAATCCACATACCTACAGCCTTGACGAAAATGGTGACTGCTTCCCAGGCACAGGCTGATGAGTTTTCCTCTAAATGGCACACATGTATCCCTTTTAATTGTCAAGACATGATGTGCTAAGTGTTTGCCATCACTTCTTACCCTGTGTGTATTTTTCTTCATTGAATGAATGACTAGCTGTGCTAGTATCTCTGCCCCAAGCGTTCAGTGGAGCATGAATGGAATTACGTCAAAAGGTATACTGTGTCTGTTATGTGTAGTAGTGGCAATGTAGTCCTTCCAGCCTCTGTTGTTTTGTCTCAGCTGCAGTGGAGTTTTGTGTAGTAGTAGGTGACTGTAGATTCTCTCTAACAAACGTCCTTTCTGTAATGTAGTTTCTGCGCAGATTCACTCCCTCATGTAATGTGCTCTGCCCAATGTCTAATTTGTAAAAGCAGTTAAGAAGATCTTCCAAATGTACCTTTAGCTGAAATGTATACTAAAGATCTGATTTAATTGTAATTCCAGCATGCTGGAGAAAATGAACCCTGCTTTCATAGTTTGCAGAGCATTTTCTTCAGGAGAATTCAATACGAGGCATTAGTCTATGGGCTAATGTTTTTTCATGAAATTATGATTTTCACATATTGACATAGTCAATGGATCAGCTTTTCTCTTGGGGATAAAGCCCTTCATTATATCAGAGCTGTGTGTATTTCTTGTGCTGTAGAGTAGGTTGGAAATTTTATGTTTAGTTTAGAATAAAAAGTACAGCACACTTAAGTGTCTTTGTTCTTTACAGGTTCATTAACAGGGAGTCCACACCTCTCAGAACTGTCAATTAACTCTCAAGGAGCAACAACAGGGCTAAACTCAACAATGTCTCCAAACCTAAGTCCTGATGGAAAACCTTCTTCTCCCCTCATTAGTCCATTGTTGAATGAGCCCATCTGCATCAGAACTGATGAGGAGGAGGAGAGCCGGAAAAAGGTACTCCTTTTTTTTTTTGTATTCTGGTTCTTCTGTCATTTTGATGCAATACATCAGTTTGATGCCCTCCCAACCCTATTGTTCTGAAACTGTATTGTAACTGTACTGTCTCCACTGTTTTGTAAAGCGCTGAGCAAATTGTTGGCGCTATATAAATCCTGTATAATAATAATACAGTCACACAGATTTTCTCATGTGGCAGTTCGGATGTAACAATTATATAGTGTATATAGTTTCATTGACTATACAAGATGATGTCCGAATAAAGAAATCTAAAATAAAGTAATTAATCTTGGTTGGAAATGTTTGGTGGATTTCCCTTTGTGAATATTAAATAAGAATCTCACCTTGCCATAATATAGTCAAACCTTCTCTTGAAATAATATTACCCAAAACCCAAGTGACCTGGTCAGACAAGCCGCCACCATCTCTAATATACAAGTCTGTAGGAAAACACTTCTGATAAGGGGTGTGGCTGTTACTCAGCTAAGCCCGCACGGAGCAGAAAGCTGCATTTTACCTGCACTAACATTTTCAAGCAAACATTTCTTGCAGATCATAACATGCAGGTGTACAGGACTATGATTAAAATGTCAAATTTCAGTTGGGTTTAAAATATTGTATGGGAGACCACTTAACTTTCTTCACTATCAAGTAGTTTTGATATTATGAATCTCGCATATGAAACTGTAAGAAAAACTGCTTGTGTTGCCTTGCTTCACCTATGCATTTTCTAAACATAAACTGTATGATCTTATTGATATGGATAACACACACAGTTCTTCCTTCTTCTCTAGACTCTTTAAAGCTAAGCTCCAGCCAAAACAGTCATTGTCATGTCTTTATTGCTGTCTGAGGTTCCCCTCACTTCTTGTCCCAGGGACGGGAAAGGTTATGAAATCTCTCCAGACATTAACAAAAATAATTTGTTTAAGAAGGTTCCTATTCTGGCAACCCCTGCTCACTGTATTTTTCGCGCTGGAGTCAGAAATAAGTCAGGAGAAAATTTCGCCAATAGTCACAGACAGTAAAAAAAAAACAACCTTATAGAGGTTCTAACTATATTCAAAACATGAAAATAGTATACATGAGGTCTAGATTGCCCTTACAGTAAAAATGTGCGTATTAGTATGTGAACATTGCAATTCTGGCTGGAAAACCACATACCTAGGCCTGTTGAAGGAAGTAAAGATATGCGCTGTCACTGCTAAATATGGAATATGTTCATGATTTCATTTTCCTCTTTGCAGAGATTTCCAAACGACAAAGCCTACTTTATTGCAAAGGAAGTTTCAACTACAGAGTGTACCTATCTGAAAGATCTTGAAGTTATAACAGTGGTAAGTAATGGTCCAGTCTTTATTGCAAAGTACATTTGTCCATTAGTTCAAATTTACATTTGCTATTCTTCAGTACTGTAGATGAGTGAACACTAGAAGTGCATGGTTTGAACAACGAGAGGTAGACCGAATTTTGTTGTATTCTCCATTATACTTTGACTGCTCTGTTCTTTATATATCTGTGATCCACAACTTCCTCTGCTGTGTACAGTTCTGTCTTGTCATATGCAATCATCAGTAGAAATGTCCTGTATCTCAGAACATCAACTTTCCCGATAATCTTTGTTTCCTTAAACAACCAATCAGATTTATACTTTTACGCACTAGAAATTGAAAGTGAGAATCTGGTTGCTAATAACAAAGCAGGCAGTTCTTTAAATCATGGAGCCAGGCTGTCTATATTCCTATATGGCAGATATTTCTTGTTCTGTACCCACTTGAAATTCTAGAGAACCATTCACCAATAAGCATTTGTAATAATCTGAATCTGTATTTGTCAAATGAAGCAGCCTTACTAATTTGAAATTACTTATTTGTTTATTTACATGTATTCTCTCCCTGTTAGGGCCAGTTCACACCATATGCAGTTGTGATGCAGTCCGTTTGACTGCTGCTGTCAATCACAATCGCTTTCCTATGGTCTTTCTTGTGCTATATTCACACTGCAATGGTGTGAATAAAGCACAAGAAAGCCCATAGGGAAGCATTGTGATGTATTTCACAATGCAGCGGTCAAATAAACGGACTGCATCACAACTGCATATGGTGTTAACTGGCCCTCAGTGCAGCACAATTATCAAGCTGTTATACCATCCTATGTGCTGCCTGGGCTCAGTGCTGATGACTAACAACCAGAAAATCCTTGAGCAGCATGGAGAGTACGTCCATTATCAATCCTGAGCTCAGGCGGGAGAAAGTCAATTCATAGAAGTCTTGACGCTAGGGCCTCATAACTATGAACTGATAGTTCTGCTCTGACAGGAAAAGAAAACAAGTTAATAACTGCACACACCATTATCCATTAGAGATAAAGCAGCACTGTTTGTATCAATATGCACAGAACTTGTAAGATGGTTATAGACATTAAAAGCAATTTGTTTTATTTCTCAGTGGTTTCAGAACACAGTAAATAAAGATGACTCCATGCCAGAGCAATTAAGAAATCTTATTTTCTCCAACTTTGATCCCTTACATAAGTTCCACACCAGTTTCCTAAAGGAAGTTGATCAGAGGCTTGCCTTTTGGTAAGAATTGAATCTGTTTGTGTTTTATCGACTAGTGAGTATATCGCAGCTTTTACATTGGAAAATAAATCCTGGAGAAAGCACAAACTGCATTGTACAATACCTTATCCCATCCTTATGAAGGCATGTGAATGAATGTGAAAAGAGGTTATTTCTGAGTTAAATATCCTAGTACGACCTTTCAAATATAATTTAAAAGGGTCTAAAGATCTATCAGAGTATTGGAGTATTTAATACAGCATCTGTTTTAAGAGAGTGGAACTCCTGCCAAAATGTTTTCGCTTTAGTTTAAATCGCACTGGAAGGATTAGAACCTCTTGTCAGGTACTTTATTCACTGTGTTGTCTTGTAGAGGAGATTTTCATGGCATGGAATTTGTATTGCAAGTAGGTAGAGTCCCCCCTTTAACCACCACCACCAGGGATACAGGCAGCAATAAAGAAAACTCTGAGGTTCTAAGGTTTGCTTTACTGATTCTGATAACAAATGTGCTTTATTGCTATCTTCATGACCAAACTGTAAGTGAAATCTTCATAATAGTTTTTTGCTTGTTTTTTTCATTCCCTTCACCATTGCATATTTTACTTGCCTATTTAACACTGTCACATTTTCCACAGTGTTTTACAATAACCATTTACATTGGTCACAGCCTTCAAAAGAGTATACAGCCCAGAGTCCTTACCAGAATCATATTTACATGCATCATGTAGTAGGTCCCAGTTAAGCTACCTGCTTTTTTCTTGGATTGTGGGTGGAGGTCGTAAAACACAAAAGAAACCTACACCCAGGCAGAGAACAGGCAGGTACCAAGCACATAGTGCCTTTATTGGAGGTTTTACCTAGGAGCCCTAAGTTGTAAACATTGTTCTGCCCAAATAGAATAATATTATTCTGACCCCAGTTGGGAAACTTCTACATCTCATTGTTACACTTCAACAGAACTGCCTGCCTGTGAGAAACCATTCATATTTTTATACGCTGAGGTTTGACTAGCTATATTAAAGCTGAATTCCAGGCAACTGCTTTTGAAAGGAGAAGCTGCAGACTATTGAGCTCATCCCTTTGTCACTATCTAGTCTCTCCTCCTATCTGAATGCTTCTTGCATTGTATCACAATTGATTGGTCCCATGTGCTGCTGAGACTGGCAGATGCCCAATGTAATTGAAATGTTTTGCCGTTTTATCGCTTCATATGTACTGACTTAGGCCTTGTTCACACCAAGCGCGGAGCAGATCCAGACCAGAGCAGGTGCAGACCGGATCAAAACTGCGTCCAATGTATTCCTATGGTATTTTGACCTCCAGTTCACATCGCAGCGTGCAGATCCAGAGCAGGTGAAAAAACTGCAGCAAGCCCTATTTTACCTGCTCTGGATCTGCTCTGGAATGCCTGAAAGCCCATGTTAAACTTAAAAAAAAAAAAAAGTTTCATCAAAAACGCGGCACAACCCACTGCACTACGTGTGCAGAAACCTGACCGGATCTGCTCTGCATTTGGTGTGAACAAGGCCTAAGGCAATGGAAAGAGCAAAGTATAGTACAACCATAAGAATCATACTCCATTTCTGTCTTTGATAAACCGTAGTAATTGGCCTTAACAGGTCTACTTATGATATCAAATTGAATTGCATACAGCAACATAATTAAGAACATGTGCCTTATGTATCATATCATACAAAGAGTAGTTTTCTAGCAGTTCCAACCAACTTTTTTACAGCTATTGAACGGATCAGTGCAACCTCCATCCCTTCCACATAGATGGGTTGTCTCGATCTGTACAACTGCTTTTGTGATCAAAAGCTGATTTCCATATAACCATTTTGTAGATTGATGGTTTGATATGAGGTCTATTGACATTACTGTCACAGTGAATACTGCAAGAGACCAGTGCTTTGTATTTTAAAATGAAGCAATGGCATTCAAATATTATTAGTCTGAAGTTATTGTAATTGCACACGTTTTTGTATGGAAAATGTACCTTTCTTCTTTATTTAGCTTAATTTGCTTTGTCTGAATCTAATGCTTTAGGAGGTTGAGCCTGTCAAATAACAAAGCCCTGTAGTTAAGTGGAATTAAGTCAATGTGACAATAAAATAACGCTGATAAGCAGAAAGACTTGTGGGGAAAAAAATAAATAACTATTATCACCTTGAAGAAAGCTTTATATATGGGTAATCTCCTGAGATAAAAAGGGCAAAAGAGCAATTTCAACATTCATAAATGAATGCCCGTCATTATATTGTGTAACTGTAACATTATTTTGTAATGACGCATTGAAAATTAATTTTACATTCTCACAGGGAAGGAAGGTCCAATGCTCATATGAAAGGCGAACATCAGAAAATTGGGGATGTCATGTTGAAAAATATCCAGGGCATGAAGGTACCATGGACATTTTCTATTACTTTTCACCAGTGAGAAAAAAAAAATGTTATATACAGTACGTGTGTGTGTGTCCACACCTACTCAGTTGATACTTAATCAGGTACATTTTCTTAATGCATGTAGACACACACTAAAGTTCATGCTGCAGCTTAATGTGTAAGGCATGTGTTAGCCTGTGTTAACATGCATAGTTGCAGAGTAGCACATGTTATTGTGAGTTGCGTTAAGGCAGTGCTTATTGGGCTGTCCAGAATGTAACAGAACAGACGTGCAGTATTGTTTCTAACAGTGCATAACAATGCATGGTAGTGCATTGCCGTGCATTGTGGTGCACTGTAACTGTATCGCTTTAGTGTATTGGGTGGTGTTAATTACATCGATTCAAAATTTTCGTCCTAGTTTGAAGTTAATACGACTAAAACTATGCCGAAAATACATTGTAATTTAGTCGACAAAACGAAACAAAAATAATTCAGATGACTAAAATACAACGTTTCAGTTGTATTTTAGTCATCTGAATTGGTGTTATAGTTTTACTTACGTTTTGCCGAGTAAATCTCCAGTAGAGAAAATTGCATGTATTTTCGTCATAGTTTTAGTCCTATTAACTTACCTTTTTATTTTGTTTTCACCACTAAAAACATACAGCTGATGAAAACTATTACAAATAATTTTAGTTGACAAAATTAACACTGGCATTGGGGTGACATACAAAATGAATGACGCTGCAACATGTTGATGCATGTAATGTGCATTAACGTGTCGCTGAAATTCCTGTGTTAACTGGAATGTATAAGCGTAAATGGGCCCTTAATCTTACCTGAATTAGTGCAGCTGCTTTATCTGTGGACCACATATGTATGTGCATACATCATAACACCATCATACTCCCAGAAATGTGCATTCTAGTCCTTAAGAAAGTAATCTCCTGTGACTAAGATTAGTTCTGATAATATCTGTCAGTTCTATATTTCTTAACACTAATGCTTTTCCTTTCAGCAATTCACAACTAACTTTCAGAGGCATTATGAGGTGTTGATGGAGCTGGAGAAGGCAATAAAAAATTCCCGCAAACTAGAAATTCTGTGCAGAGACTTTGAACAGGAGAAGGTGTGTTATCTGCCGCTGAACATGTTTCTCCTTCGACCCCTGCACAGACTCATGCACTACAAGCAAATCATGGAGAGACTTTGCAAGCACTACTCACCAAATCACGTCGATTTCCGGGACACTCGAGGTGAGAAGGAAAGGACAATTACAGAATTACACAGGATTAACAATGGTTGTTTGTAATGTATCTGGCTATGTTTAGTACCCATTTCAGGGTTATTGTGAGTGTACACTGAGTGGCCAGATAATTGTGACCACCCCATCAGTACTTCGTTGGGCCACCTTTTGCCTTCAATACTGCGGGGATTCTTCTTGGCATTGACTCCACGAGATGTTGAAAGGTGATGCGAGGAATCTGATACCATGCCTGATGAATAGCACTGTCCAGTTCTGTGAGATTTGATGGTTGTGGAACCAGCTGCCTGATGGCTCTTTCAACTTCGTCCCACAGATGCTCAATTGGATTGAGATCTGGTGATTGTGGGGGCCACCTAAGCAAGGTAAATTCTCCCTCATGTTCTTGAAACCACTCCTGCACAATACGAGCACCGTGGCATGGCGCATTGTCTTGTTGGAAGAAGCCATCTCCATTGGGATACGCCATCAACATGATAGGATGAACTTGATCAGCAACGATACTTTGGTATGTTGTGCTATTCAGACGTTGTTCCACACGAATTAAAGGGCCCAAATCATGCCAGGAAAACATGCCCCAAACCATAACACTGCCCCCACCAGCTTGAAGGGTTGTACTCATGCATGTGGGGTGCATGCTTTCATGCTGTTCCCGCCAAATTCTCACTCTGCCATCTGCATGATGCAACTGGAAACGTGATTCATCGGACCACATGACTTTTTTCCAATGCTCGACTGTCCAATCCTTGTGTTCCTGTGCGAATTGGAGACGTTTTATCTTGTTAACTGCAGACAGCAAAGGTGTTCGAACAGGCCTTCGGCTTCCATATCCCATACGATGCAGTGTACGGCGAACAGTGCGTTCAGAGATCATTTGAGAGGATCCCTGATTAAGATCTGCAGTAATTTGATGCACTGTTGCCCTTCTGTTGTCTTGTACCAGTCTTGCCACTCTCTGTTCTGCCCTAACATTCACTAGCAACTTCAGCACGAAATTATAGCTAATTTGCCTACAAACGTCAGGTGGACATAATAATCTGGCCACTCAGTGTATATAAAACGTTTTTGGGGGGGTATTTTAAAGGCTTTGACTCTCATTCAAATTCGATTAATACTATTCAGTTAACAGTGCAGCTGTGGTGAATTCTGTTTTGCTCATTTTATTCTGATGTGAGCTTCATGCAATCCATTGCAGCCACAGTTTAGAGAACTGCTCATGTGTAAAGGTGGCCTCAGTCAGGACTTCTCCCTGCCAACCCACAATCCTCATTCCTATAAGAGTGCACTTGTAGACACGGATGTACGCTCATTGAGCAGGTGCTAGACTGGTTGGTAAGCGTTAGCTGTGAAGTCAAACAAAGTGCAGCTACGGTTTTCTGACAGATTTAAAGACAGGTACATTTTGATTCAGCCTCTTAAATAGTCTTAAACTCTGCTGCCAGTTCCCAGGGTGTTTCCCTTAAAATACAAGTATGCACAGCAGACTTACCCGCCCAAAGCACCCCACTTCAGCTCTGCAATGACTGCGATTTCCCTCATTGTTGTTGCTGACATCTTTACTCAGCTCTGTTCTGGGTTCGTTGCCTTCAGCCACCATGACTGGCCAATTCAGGATGACCTAAATCCTAAGTTCCCCCTTATGCCACCACTGGCATAAGGGGGAAATGGTCACAACTAGGACTTATTTTCGGGGTAGGTCTTATATTTTAGCAATTCCCAAAAATAGTACTAGGTCTTATTTTCGGGGAAACACGGTAGCAGGTTTTTCAAATTTTTTTCTTAGAGAACAGGGATACAAGAGGCAATGCAACACTTTTCTGGCATTATTGCTGTTAGGAATGTCCTGCACAAAATTCAGAAAGTAATGATGTTACTGACACATGCAGCAAATTCAAGTCACACACACACACCTCACACACACACAATTTTTGTGCAATTTCTGTAAAACAACTGAAAAATGTTCTGGACTTTCCAACAGCTGCTCTTGCTGAGATCTCGGAGATGGTTGCACAACTCCACGGAGCGATGATAAAGATGGAAAATTATCAGAAATTACAGGAGCTCAGGAAAGATCTGACAGGCATTGAGAATCTGGCGATACCTGGCAGGGTAAGCAGTTGAAGAATACTGTGCTGATTTCCTTTATTGCAAAGTCCTGGTGGTAAGAGAATTAATAAATAGTGACATGGGCTCCTACGATTGAAGCTCACATGCTTGCTTATTAAATTAAAGTAAAAGGAAGCTCCTGCCTTTCCTTTAAGAGACCCTGTTGTCAGAACATTTATTTAAATAAAAATATTCCCATAAGAATTTATGTGCATTTAATGTATTTTATGCATGGCATTTACCTTTAAAAGCCTCCCTTGCATGGACATCAAAAAGGCCTGAGACTTCTGCTGGTAATCCCCTTCTTGGATGTGATGTCTGCAGCTCCAGCAGACTCAGGTGTCACTCAGGTATAGCAGGGGTAAGCAACCTTGGAACTCCAGCTGTGGTGAAACTTCAACTCCTATCATGCCTCTGCCTCAAGGGGTCATGAATGTGGCTGTCAGAGTGTACAACAGCTGGAGTAATGAAGTTGCCTACCCTTGTTCTGTAGTATTCATTTCCCTCCTCCACCGGCAGATACAGAAATGGTTATGTAGGGAGGTGAGTGGAGAGGCGAAGGAGCTGCACCAGCACAATAATTAGACACTTCCAGAATAGAATTTCTAAAGTTGGTGACAGGGACTCTTTAGAGTGACATAAGGTGTCATAACAATGAAAATTCCAAACATGCATACCTGGTAAAGAAGCCAGCAGACACTTAACTTTTCTGCTGCCCACAATGCCAGAACATTGCTTCTTTTTTTTTTGTTTCAATAGTTTTTATTATTTCCATTATAAACAGAAAACATACATAATACAGTGACATAGCTAGGATGCTAAAAAAAAAAAAACCAGTCACCTTCATGGTTACATTCGTAATTTCGTTATTATGTTTTAACTGTTAACGCAGAGATCTATCAGTACGAAGTGAGCATCTTAAGGTGTTTGTCGAAAGGGAGCTTCTTTTTTTTAATTTATTTTTTTATACACAAAATCCATATATAGAACGGACAAGTTATTGCAATATATCCCTTGTATTCCACTACATTTTACATTATACTTCTACAAAAGTAGGAATATTGGATAGGAGTTACCACTTCTGCAGTTTCCATTGTTCAAATAAGAGGGTAGTCTTTTTATCATATGCAAGAGCAGTCACCCTGTAATCTACTTAATCATGAACTCGGTGAACATTTTATGGGGTGAGTGAAATACACTGATCCCCATAATTCAAGCTGACCTGTGACAAAGAAGCTGTCACAGGTCGGCTCTATTGATCAGGAACTCGGTGAACACATACCGCCATTCACTGAGTTCCCAATCCTCTCCCTGCAGAGAGCATTGACTGTCAGTCACCGCTCCCCACCAAGATTGCACCCCCTCTCTGTTTATCCAGCGCTGACTGAAGGAACGGACAGGGGTGGGCACTAGAGAGGCAGAGCCAGCTGTCAATCAGCCAGCGGGGCGGATCTCGACAGTATTGTCAGGATCCATCCCAGCTGTGGAGCGTCCCTGCGCTCTCAGTATATAGGGGGCAATAGCCCCCTATATACTGAGTTTTGGGTCACCAGAGGACATAATATATGTCCTCCTTTGACCCTGAAGAGAACTATGGGCAGAAAAGGCTGGGCCATAGTTTTCTTTTAACTGCTCTAAAAGTATACGTTTAATAATGTATAAAGGTTGGCACAAGCTCACATCCATTGTAGCGTAGGCTTACAGTTCGTGTTTATTTAGATGTTTAATGTACTTTTAGTGGGTAGATGATTAGTACACTTTAAAATAATCTACTGATAACTTGATTTTTTGTTTTATTTTGTGAATATACTAAAAGATATTTGATTAGACAGGTAAATTATTGTGTAAATTATCTCCATTTTAAAATGTCTCAGTGTCAGTATTTTGTCTACTGTGTAGTAACATTGATTTATCTCTGTATTCCCTTCATGTCCATTTCAAACATTGTTTTTCTTTCAGGAGTTTATTAGACTTGGAAGTTTAAGCAAGTTATCTGGGAAAGGCTTACAGCAAAGGATGTTTTTCCTGGTAAGTTGACCCTTGTCTATGAAAACCATATAAACAGGGTAATAACTGCTTAAAGGAAATCTGTCAAAAGCAAAATGTGCGGGATGCCAGTTCTGACCTTATGAAAGTGTTATCTCCTTTGCTGTCTCTGGGGCAAACTTGCAGCCCACAAAGTCAAAGTAAAGCTTGAAATTCACAATGGCGTACCATACCGCAAGTTGTACGACAGCCTGGCAACTAACATTTTCAGACAGATGTCTGCAGTATGCGCCTACCTCTCTCATGACTGGTTTCCTTTGAGGAGCACTGATAATTTAGGAACTAATACCTGTTTTACCAGTTAGAATTTGTTTTATTCACAAAGCATTGACGTATTGTGATGATGTAGAGCACACAGAACAGAATTCAAGGTACGGTATTCTTTTTTTTTTTTGCAGTTTAATGATGTGTTGCTGTACACCAGCAGAGGGCTGACTTCTTCAAATCAGTTTAAGGTCCATGGGCAGTTGCCACTGTTTAATATGACGGTAAGGGTCTCTTTTAGCTTTCCTTCTTGGATATCCCAAAACACAGTGCAATCATAGTATTCAAACAGGTGATATTGTATTAGCAATTGCAGGTGCGCAGTATCTGAAGCCATCCATTGTTCTGAATAGTCTATATTGAGAAACCTTGCAGAACTTTAGTTGCTTTATGTGCATGATGAAACTTTTGCATGCCGTAGTCACATATATTGTAATGCTGGATGAGAGTTCTGTTTCATGGTTCTGTGTGCGCATGTGCCTAAAGACTTTACAGCATCTAATAACTGTATGGGGAAGGAGAAAAATGTCTTATATATAGAGCTTGTTATAGTGTTCTTTTTTTATTAATAATTTTAGGTTGAAGAAAGTGATGAAGAGTGGGGTGTATCCCACTGTTTGACCCTAAGAAGTCAAAATCAAGCTATAGTTGTTGCAGCAAGGTATGCAATTTACTTGAATGAAATTAAAATGTATTGAAATACACTGCCTGGTCAAAAAAAGTAACCACCTGGATTTAGCTAAGCAAATAGGTAAGAGCAATAGGGGTTGCTTCAGATGGTCAGGTCTAGGTTTAGCAACATTATGTGCCAAAAACTGAGGTCAGCTACCTACCTGAATATACTGAATAACGAGGTTTTTCCATCAATGGATTCTTTCTTTACTATTGGCATAATGGGTATATTCCAAGATGACAATGCCGGAATTCATGGGGCTCAGATGGTGATAGAGTGGCTTAGGGAGCATGATACATAATTTTCACACATGAATTGGCCACCACAGAGCCCTGACCTTAACCCCATTGAGAATCTTCGGGATGTGCTGGAGAAGACTTTACACAGTGGTCCGACTCTCCCATTATCACTACAAGATCTTGGTAAAAAAAATGAATGCACCTCTAGACGGAAATACATGTGACATTGCATAAGCTTACTGATACGATGCCACAGCAAATGCGTGCCGTAAACAAAGCTAAAGGCAGTGCAAGGAAATAGAAATAGTGTGAGTGAATTATTATTTTTTGGCCAGTCAGTGTAGTTTTAAATAAGACAATGTAGGGAGATATTTTCTGGCACCTCCTATTTTGGATAACATGACTTTTCTGAATTGTAAGATTATATGTCCAAACGCTGAAGAAATATTGTAATAATTAGCCATTTGTTTTGCACTTTCTAAAGGTATGATATAATGACAACATTGCTTGGCATGAGAACTCCTGATACTTGTTCCAGGTCAGTGTCTCACAAAGTGCCAGCATAGCAGCCAGGCAGCTAGCATTTTAGGGAGGAGAGGTCTGCAGTAGGAGGATTGACAATTCCTTCAATAGTGGCTTCATTTAACATTCATATTTTATTTACATAGTTGCATTGTGCTGAATGACTGTGTTCTTTGGTGTATCTTTTCAGTTCTCGTTCTGAAATGGAAAAATGGAGTGAAGATATTCAGATGGCTATTGATCTGGCAGAAAACAGTAGTGGTCCTGTCCCTGAGCTTATAGCTAGCAGCCCCCCTGATGGCAGTAAGTAAACAGACCAATAGCTGAATTATAATCATGAACTCTTTGTGAATTTTGGTTGTACAAATATCTTTATGTTGCCCCTTTTTGTAATTCTGCACACGGAATATTTGGATCACCAGGACAGAAAATGTTCATATTACTGGTAGTATTATGTCATTCACATGGAAATGTATCATGTTCATTCACAAGAAAGCATGTGCACATTCTCCTATCGCTGCACTGTATTTACATTTGCTAATAAGAGTGACGTTAATCCTTTGTTTTATTTATCTGTAATGTCGGTTCAGGGTGATAACTAGCAATGTCCTTCAATAGATATATACTGGTGTCTCATGGAAACAATCTTTGAAATGTTTTCTTTTCCTATTTGGAAACAAAATTGTTTGTTAAATATTAGTAGAACTTTTCACTTTCTTATCTTCCTCTAAAACTGAATTGTTGATTTCTGGAATAAGTGCATCCATTAAAAGATCATTTCACCCGGCACTGAAGTATAGAGTTGAATGTAATCAAGTGTATTTAAAGGAGAACTATGAGGTGAGTGCTTTTCACTCACCTCATAGTTCTAGCCGACCTGTGACAATGAGTCTGTCACAGGTCGGCTCAGTAGATCGGGAAGTGAGCGAACACATACCGGCGTTCGCTCACCTCTCGATCCTGTCACGGCTCTCTGCCGTGACAGGGGAGGGGCTGGATTACCCTCTCCCCGCTCCGATCTGACTGGCGGAACGGACGGGGGAGGGGGCGGGTACAGCTGGCTCTGCTTCAGCTGCGGCGTCTCAGTATACCGAGAGCAGTAGCTTGTGGTATACTGTGGCGTCTCAGTATACCGCGAGCTGTAGCTCGCGGTATACTGAGCTTAGGGTGACGGGAGGACGCTAGTTTGTGTCCTCCCGTTACCCTAAAGAGAACTATGGGGAAAAGCCTTAACCCCATAGTTCTCCTTTAAAGATGCAGCCATATAATCCTGATCTCAGATGATCTGCCTGCTATAGTTCCAGTTCTTTTCTTTCTGCTTCTATCATTACTGGAAATGTTTCCTCTATGCTGTCAAGGCAGAGGAGTATTGTACGCAGGGGGGTAAATCCTGCATTTGAAACCACCAAAGTAATCATTTCTAGTTTTGCTGAGAAGACGGTATAACCATACAGGTTATGGGTGAGTAAGGACTAAAGGGATTGAAAAGCTCTCAACTCCAATCAGTCCCTTGCACAGAGGTGGACAAACTCCGGCTCTCCAGCTGTGGTGACACTTCAAATCCCATCATGCATCTGTCTCAGGGAGTGATGTCTGTGGCTATGAGGACTTTGCACTGCCTCATAGTTCCACAACAACTGGCTGGCTGAAGTTTGCCCACCCCTGGCCTAGCACATTAAAGCCGGCTTACAAAAGGTAATCACATTTCCTTTCATCACATATATCCCAAAAATAAGAAAATTATTCCTTATTTCAAAGCAGTGGGCGGAGCCATGCAAATCATTTATTTATGCCTCCACAGCCAAATGCAAACCCAGAAACGCTGGTGCAAATATTTTGCATGGCTCCCTCCACTGTCCTAAAATGAGGAATAATTCTCTTATTTTTGGGGTATGCAATAGAATGAGACATGTAAATACCTTGACTTTACTGTGCTACACTATAGCTTTACTGAGAAATGTTTCTCTTTTTCTTGCATTACTCAACACATTGGGCAAAACTGCTCTATATGTTCATGAATCTTCTGTCAGGCTGGCCGTAGCCAGGCAGATATTTCCCCAATAAGGACAGGCTGGGAGATATCTGCTCATCCTCGATCTTGCCAAGACCCACCACTTATTATTGTGCAACCTACCTGACTAAAATAAGTAGAACAAACACAGTCGTTCTTTCCCTCTTCCCATTAAGAAGATAAAAGGATTAGCTAGGTCACTGTTAGAAGCACGTGTTATTGTCCCTTTGTGCATCCCCTAATGGCCCAGTCTGTTCCCCAAATATTGAATCAGGCTGTCAGCTTAAACATTTGATGCCTGAGCTTTAAGTAGCATGCATTAATAATTCTCTAATCATATGGTAGTGGTTGCGGAGCATTCTAGGTATTGTGTGTCTGTGCTATATCCAAAAACCTAGCTTATCAGATAAGCAAATCTTTCATATTGAAAAGTTATTTACTATAAGGCCTGGAGTGCAGTCATTGATGCTATTGTGACACTGATATTCATATTTTGTTAGAATCACCGGAGGAAGGTCCCGCTGATCAAGAATCTGAGGATGACTTGAGCTCTTCTCGCACATCCCTGGAACGACAATCACCTCACCGTGGAAACACTACCGTTCATGTCTGTTGGCATCGGAACACAAGCGTTTCCATGATTGATTTCAGCTTTGCTGTGGAGGTATGGAGCATTATAGTTCAGCATACATGGCTCTTCCCATCCTTTCTATATATTGTTATATAGATATATATATATCTATCTATATATAGATATATCTATATATATTATTAATTACTTACAAGTAATGCGGTATTAATATTTAATAATTGCTTCTCACAATTTGTTCAATAAGGCTATATTGTTCACCAGACCATGCTGATATTACGCTGAAACTCTGGTCCGTTATCTACTTCTAGTAGAGAAGAAGGAGAGAGAGAGAGTACAAGGTATAAACTGGATACTAAAGAGGTAGATGGGAGCAGACTGCATGTTACTATGTGTTTTGTCTTTCCCGAAAAGGCACAAGGCAAAGAAAGTTAATCCATGCTGCATATACCGTATTTTGCGCTCCATAAGGCGCACCGGTGCATAAGACGCAGGTCAGTTTCTGACAGAAGCTGCAGTTAGTGATCGCTGAGACAGGTGGCGCTGTGATTACAGCGCCACGGTCTCAGTGATCACACAGCAGTCGAAGAACGGATGTTCTTCGTCTGCTCTAGGGGCTCTATGGTGAGCTCCTTTCCCGTGGTATTCGGGTCCCCCAGAAGAGCGGGGGACCCGAAAAACACGGCGGGGGGAGCGTCACTGCCGCTCGGTTTTAATACAAGTGATCTAAATAGATTACTTGTATTAAACGAGCAGCGGCTTCCATTGTACGTTTAGCTCTGCTTTAGCAGGACTAAATGTACAAAAAACTAGGTATTCACTCCATAAGACGCACACACATTTTCCCCCGCCTTTTGGGGAGAAAAAAGTGCGTCTTAGGGAGCGAAAAATACAGTAATCACAATGATCTATCTGTTTGTAACAGAGGAATGTAACAAAGCAGATCAGACCCCACTTCCTTGTGTCATATTTTGAGTGTTCACAAAATAGAAGCAAAACAAATGCAATCTGGTCCCCCTCACTCTCCAATGCTCTGTTTCCCAGTTCATAAAAACAAAAAAGTATATAAATATATAAAGTATAAAACAAAATCTATCTGCTCTTCCTGTCTCTGATGCTTGTGTGACTGGAAAATGATAAATACGGTGATTGCCAAGGAGCTCCGACCAGCTGCTACTGCTTGTTTGTGTCTCTCTCTCGGTCTACTAGTAAATAGTAGCCTAGATGACTGAAGAGAGCAGTACTGTCTGCTTAGAAAACGCAACATGTTTTACTAAGACCATAGGGCCGGTATCAATGGGTTATGGGCCTATGTTGATGACATCAGTTTGAGAGACTACTGAAATCATTCAAAGTGCATTGACAGGTGACCTCCTTCTGACCTGCAGTTGCTTTGCTTCAAGTGGGTTTTCTATTTTCATAAACTTGCATAGGATTGCCAAACACAAAACAAACACAAGGCTGTTGACACGGGCCCTAAAAGTGGCATTTGTCATGTTGCGGAAAATGGATTTAGTTGTATTAGATGCACATCACCTACCTTCAGCTTTAAGTGCATTTGATGGGTGGGTTGGTATCAATAAGAGAAGTTTGGGTTTACCGGGAAGGACATACAGTACATAACCTATCTGCTGACATGGTATTGTGCTGTAAAAGTAGCTGAGCATTCTTAATTCAGCGAATAGCCCTCACCCATTAACCTTTACCCTTTAAATTAGCACTTTTCACAGCAAAACAGTGATGCTTTTAGTTCTGTATTATACAGGAACACCTTTCAGTAAAACGTACTACTCTTTGCATTTTGATTTTATCTACAGCCAATACATCAGGGAAATGTTTTTAAATGTAATAAACATACTTTACAAAATGTAAGCATTGTGTAATCTATTGTCTGGGATGCTAAGGCCTTGGGGTTTTCTGATGGAGGGGTTTTCTATCCTTACAGCACTACGCAATAAGTAGTTTGTTACTTTTAAAATTGATCTTTCTTTTCCCCCAAATCTCCTCTAACATTTACATCAAGAAGAACAAAATGTCATGTGACTCTTTTGTATCATTTCTGAAAACAAACAGCAGTATTTTGTTCTTTATATCTATTTAGGTGATTGGTTTCCAGGTAATGATTCCCATATGTGTAAAAAAGTAGCAACACGTGCAGTTTCCAGTAGATGGCAGCAGTTTCCTTTGAAGAAAGCTGGCCATGCTGAACTCTTAAGATATCCAGTAGAATGTTTTAGATTTCTCTCTTAGATATCATAATGTTGGCAGATAATGTTGCCAGAGTATTTGTAAGTCAATATGTGTAACATTTGCTACAGAAATCAGTCCAAAACTTTTTTTTGAGTTTTAAATGGAGAATGGGAAGCTTTTATCCTGAAGGGTCTTATGTCATCTCCAATACTCTGGTGGAGATCTCTTCCTACCACCTATCTCCCCAGTCTGGGGTAGTCATTCCAGAAGATCTCCGTAAAGCAGAACCAGCCTGTTGCACATTTTTAAGTGACGGAGACAAATCATCATTTAAAGATAAGGTTCCATTCTTTCCTGTCAAGGTGCACTCTGAAGTTCCTTCAATCAGCTCATTGAGCTGCAGGCTGCCCACAGTTTTTACTCTGTGTGGGCTTGTTAGTGTTTTGTTACATCTCATCAGTCTCTGAATTATTACTGTTCCAGTGCCCCTTAATGATTGATAAAGGAAACAGTTTTGTTTTTCTTTACTTTCAGTCAAATCTGTTTTTTTGGTGTTCAAAAGGGACACATGTCTCACCCCTCTGCATTGTGATCTACTCCTATTGCTTCCTACAAAACAAAAGCATGATGGGAATTGACTAGTTACTGACTTTTATGTTTGCCAATTCCTCCTGTGGTTGGCAGTAGTCCATCAGCCTCTGAATTACTTCCGATCCTGTGGCCCTTAGAAACAGATTTTACAGGAATTAAAAACTTCTGTTTTTCAAAATCAGTTAAGCAGGGGCAACCTACATATTTCAATCAAACAGGTTTTTGTGTGTTGTAACAATATAGTGATTCAGCTGTTCCAAGTGCATGTGTAAGTTTTATGTTTAATTTTGACACTTATTAGTCTTAAGATATAATGTGCAATTACTGATTGCGTTATGATAGACTGTTCAGAATATGAATTTGAAGGCTTTCTTGCCCATTCAGCAAACCTGTAGGAAGCACATACATATACAAATGTTTGAGGCTTTCCCCATGTATTTCCACTGACGATATATTCATTCGTCCCTATTTCAGAGTAACTCTGTTGTAATAATTTTCTTTTCCCTTTGTCAGAATCAGCTGTCGGGAAACCTGCTTAGAAAGTTCAAGAATAGCAATGGATGGCAGAAACTTTGGGTGGTATTCACAAATTTCTGCCTGTTTTTCTACAAATCACATCAGGTAAATGTTGTGGGGAACTCTAACCACCTAAGTGACCCAAGCATGCTAAAAAGCAGTAACTAGTAAATGTGAGCCTATTGTTTTAATAAGAAAATTCAGGATGGGTTGTAGTTCTTATGACTATAATATTGTATGTATATTTATGTCATTTCTAAATATTTGGTACATTCGCTTTCATATTGGTGCAGAGGGCTATGCCCTGAAATATTGGTGCAGAGGGCTATGCCCTGAAATATTGGTGCAGAAGACTATGTCCTGCCTTATTCCCCTAGTGGTAACCCTACCTATAATTCCTATACTTGCAGTAACCCTCTCTTATTATACTTCCACTGCTCATGCCATAATGTGCAAGTATACACCGCAAACTTACCTGGCTGGTTGTCGTCCTCCTTCGGTGATGGATCCAAATTGTCCCTATTCACTCCATCCACCAACATCTTCTCTTAGATATAACAGTATATGTTGGATTTATAGATGAAACTGTGATACCACACCCCAGTAAGAAATTCAGCAACACCAACAAATATATATCGTTTGTGGGGGGTTTTAGGAATTGCCATGAAACCTTATATTAAATATATTCAATATTGAAATGTATTAAATACCGTGATTAAAAACCCCACATACATAAAAGTAAATCAATTGCATATCTTCATAAATTTGATTAGAATCTTATTCTCTTCCCCTTGCGGTTCAACACGTTTCACTGTTGTGCTTTCTCAGGAACCACTGGTAAGTCTGAGTAATCAATACCTAGCAAATATTAAATGTTCACAAATCACAAAAAAACACCTTAATGATATATGGAGCAAGTATTAACTAATAGCCAGCCTTAGGGAAGCAACTCAGTTCACTGGGGGAGGGGCCTTCAAACACAACGCTGAATATTATCTGGGAAGATATATGTTTGAAAATTACAATATTCCACCGCATACTGGTGGAGACTAACCATAAATACAGTATTATAAGGGGGAGTGGTCTTTTCTTATAACTTTTTTTGGTGAATTAACATTTAATATTTGCCACGTATTGATTACTCAGACTTACCTGTGGTTCCTGAGGAAGCACAACAGTGAAACGCGTTGAACCAGAAGGGGAAGAGAATGAGATTGTAATCAAAATTATGAAGAAATATGTATGCACTTTTTGTAAATCTGGGTATACTAGTATGCAACGTTATCATAATGTGGAGCATGTTAACATGTAATATATACATTTTATGTAGTGTGGGTTTTAAATCATGTTATATATTTAATATAAGGTTTCATGCTGGCTTTGTTCTAGTCATCTTACAGTTTCCAGGAATAGGCTGACGATGTACACTACACTACACACGTGCTGCAGGCTCTTTAAAACATTGTCAGGAGACAGGGAAACGTTTTTTGTTTTGTATAAGAAATATGCAAAGTCTCTTCTATTGAAACAAACTCCTCCAATTGTTTTTCCTCACTAAAGTTCTGTTTTAATGAATCCCTTGTTTGCACTCATCTCTTCTGCTCTGGAATCCTTTATGCTGAAGACTAACATTCCTGTGCCAAATGATACCAGCATCGGGTAACATTTCTGTAAAAACTTTGTTTTTGTAGCGTTATCTGATATATATTTTGAGTGTTACCTTTTTTAGGGGTGAGAGACACCCAGCAGGACTCCTCCAATGACAGTCATGTCCCCAGACTCGCATCCTTTATAATCATGCTTTATTGTCATTTTAACCCATCCCCACAAATATCTTTGTCAGGATTTTATTGCCAGAACATTAAGAAAAATTAGTTTTTGTTCATATTCACCATCACTAAGTGTGGGGTTGGAAGGATTTTAAACTTCTGACGATGTTTATATTGCAATCCATGCCTTCCTGACCTTGTGACAGCCACGCCTGCATTTCTTGCAGAGAAAATCTCTCCATTGGCGCCAGAGACAGAAATAAAAACCTGACAGGGATGTTGACTCTTCTCAGCTCTGTAAATGACAGGAAATGTAAATAGACTGTGTATAGTTTGTATTCAGACTTCCCAAGTATTTTATGAGTAAACCTTTTTTTAGTTTAAGGTATATTCTGCATGTATTATATTGGCCTAACAGACAAAGAATGTGTCGGAAAATATAGGATACTAAATGCCTCCGTTAAATGTGTCATGCTTCTATTTTCAGGATAATCATCCATTAGCCAGTCTCCCTTTGCTTGGCTATTCACTCACCATTCCCTCTGAATCAGAGAACATTCATAAGGATTATGTCTTTAAACTGCATTTCAAGTCTCATGTCTACTACTTCAGAGCTGAAAATGAATACACCTTTGAAAGGTAAATAATAGAGAGAATATTGAATTTTTGCTGAAGAACAAAGTGAGAGCTATTATGTCATTGCCTACAGGTTTATATTATTCAGCAGTATCTTCCATCTTAAGGAACATCTATTCCCTGTTTATTTTATCCATGTAATATTTTGGAGAACACCTCACTCAAATGTTTTGGGAAGGAGGGAAATGGCTGACCCATGTTAATACATCCCTCTGGGTTAAAATCTATTATATCAGTGCATATCCTAATGTGTGTTAGTTCAGGAGATGAATTGGTTAGGTAAGTATTGTAACAGAAGGGATCGCCTCAAAATCAACCTGTTGCCTTAAAGGAGAACTATGGGGGTCAGTGTTTTTCCCCATAGTTCTCCTTAGGGTAACGGGAGGACACAAACTAGCGTCCTCCCGTCACCCTAAGCTCAGTATTCCGTGAGCTACAGCTCACGGTATACTGAGACGCCGCAGCCGGAGCGGATCCCGACATGGACGTCGGGATCCGCCCAGCTGCGTGAGTGACAGCTGGCTCTGCCTATCTAGAGGCAGAGCCAGCTGTACCCTCCCCGTCCGTTCCACCAGTCAGCGCTGGCAGATCGGAGCGGGGAGGGGGGAATCCAGCCCCTCCCCTGTCACAGCAGAGAGCTGTGACAGGATCGAGAGGTGAGCGAACCCGGTATGGGTTCGCTCACCTCCCGATCTACTGAGCCGACCTGTGACAGTCTCATTGTCACAGGTCGGCTAGAACTATGAGGTGAGTGGAAATCACTCATCTCATAGTTCTCCTTTAACCATTTGGTACATGTTGCTCATATATTGTTCTAACATAACACACATTATTATTTGCACAGTGTTTTTGTGTATTGTTTAAAACTGCTGCACTTGTTTGTGCAAGCTTATAAGACCTTGTGTTCCCAAAAGACTTTCACCACCTACAGCTTACTCCATTTCTTTTAATTTAACAGCAGGGTTCCCAATACCCTCCATAGTGAAAGAATTGGAGTACAAATATGATCCATAATTCATTTTTTATTTAATTAAAAGTCGTCATCCTGAATATCACAGCAACAAGACTCTAATTTGTTTTGGCTCTACAAGCCTTAGTCATAGCTAACTTGTAATCTATCATATCCCTTAAATCACGGGTGCCCACAATTTTTTGTGTTAAGATCTACTTTTCAAATGACGAGCTACATGAGATCTACCAATGAAAAAAACCTCCCTCTCTCTATCTCTCTCTCCTGGCTGTCTCTCCTTGCTCATCGTCCTGACTGTCTCTCCTGGCTGTCTCTCTTGGCTGTCTTACCTTGCTCTCTCTCCTGGCTGTCTCTCCTTGCCCATCCTCCTGACTGTCTCTCCTGGCTGTCTCTCTTCGCTCTCTTGGCTGTCTCTCCTTGCACTCTGCCCTGGCTGTCTCTCCTCTCGCTCCTGGCTGTCTCTCCTCTCGCTCCTGGCTGTCTCTCCCCTCGCTCCTGGCTGTCTCTCCCCTCGCTCCTGGCTGTCTCTCCCCTCGCTCCTGGCTGTCTCTCCCCTCGCTCCTGGCTGTCTCTCCCCTCGCTCCTGGCTGTCTCTCCCCTCGCTCCTGGCTGTCTCTCCCTTCTCCTGGCGTGCTCTCCCCTCGCTCCTGGCTGTCTCTCCCCTCGCTCCTGGCTGTCTCTCCCCTCGCTCCTGGCTGTCTCTCCCCTCGCTCCTGGCTGTCTCTCCCCTCGCTCCTGGCTGTCTCTCCTCTCGCTCCTGGCTGTCTCTCCTTGCTCTCTCCCCTGGCTATCTCTCCGGCTGTCTCTCCTTGCTCTCTCCTGTCTGTCTCTCCCGGCTGTCTCTCCTGGCTCACCTTGCTGTATTTTGCAAACAGTGCAGTGCAACAGGCTGTGTAACCTAATATTCTTTGATGTAATACATAGCACTTCAACCACTAGTATCCACCAGAAAGGTGTCAGGGAACTGGGCTCAGCAGACTCCGGCTAATAGGTAATCATGTGTGCACAGCCTAATTAATAAATAGGTCCAATATGGAATAAAGGGGCCGCCATTCACACCCTTCGTGATCTACCAGCATCAGCTTTGAGAGCTACTGGTAGATCACGATCTACCTAACGGGTAGATCGTGATCTACCCCTGCCTTAAATGCTATATTGGATTTTGACTTGTAAATCATGGAGAAGTTATGGATCATATTTGGACTCCAGCTTGAGCAAAAACCAGCAATGATTTATCTCATAATTACCACATTCAGTAACTACAACCCTCCTACAACAATATGGGGACATGATGTACAGAAAGAATCCATGTGTAGCAACAATTACAGTACACTTGTTACAAATATCAGATGTTTTCTTTAGTGAAAACTTAATGCGGTCAGTAGATACAGAGAGCTGAATATATATGCAGGCATCAACTTTTCCCCTTAAAGTTCACCTGTCATAAGAGAAATACTGTATGGGAGCTAATAACACCGGTGCTGTCATGTGACGGGGAGCGAATCACATGCTCTCCAATACCTGGAAGTGCCTGGGATTTCACTTCAATCCCGGTGGTTGAATGGAGTGGCACGGAAATGAGGAAAGGCAGGTATTGCTGAGGATGGGGTCATAAGCGATCCTTTTGCTTTACCAGGAAATCATATTAGGGGTAAAGCCGAACGATCAGAAAACCTTTAGTGACATCTGATCCTGAAATGCTGTAGCATCAGTGTCACTATGGTTATTATTGGCTGTTCTTAAAGGGTTTCTAAACCCTCCCGTTTTTTTTGCCTATATCTACTGCTGACAAGCAGTAGATATAGGCAAAAAGTTGTTGTTTTTTTTAAACGCTTTAACAGCGGTTTAAACTTACCTCGTTATTGCTGCACGCTCCGGTGCCGAGAATCAGGAACTGCTCGTGCGGCCACAAGGATCTTGGGGCGGGCGCATGCACAGTTCGGATTCTCGGCCGGGAGACGCGGAGAGACGCAAGCTAAGTCTATGGACGCGTGCACCCGCATGCAGACACCGCGGGATCGGAAATGCCTGTAAGCAGAGAGGAGTCAGCGCTGGATCGGAGAGCCGCTGCACCGCTGGAGGGACAGATGAAAACACCAGGAAAGAAGATCGGATTAAGAGACATCATTTAACCCCTTCGTGACTGACGACGTACAGTGTACGTCGGGGCTGCATCGGGGCAGCATCGGGGCTGTTTAAACAGACTCCCGGCGACTTTTGCCGCCGGGACTCTGTTTAAACTTGTAGAGCCGACTGTCTAATTCTAGGGCCAGTATTTTGGGGTATCTCTAAATTGATGACCTGTGGGGGCTTTTAAAGCGTCTTCTGTGGACTTTTTGGGGTACTGCAGTTTTTTGCTGTTTCCCGGACGCACGCAATTTGTAAACTGGGCATGTTGGGTATCGTTTTACTCGTTGTGACCTCATCTTTTATATTTAATTTTAAAAATGGGTATTTTGTTGTGTTTTGGGGCATTTAATTAAATTTATCACTAAATTTTGGGGTTTAATAAGGAGTTGCGCTAATATTGTGCAACATAAAAATTTGCAACTACCACCATTATATTGTATAGGGTCTTGGCATTCAGAAAATATATAATGTTGGGGGGTTTTAAGTAATTTTCAGGCCTAAAATGTGGAATATAACATGGGTGCAAAAAATGAAAAAGGCCTCAGTCATGAAGGGGTTAAGGTAAGTGCTAACATTAACATGGGGGGAGGGGAATTTTATTTTTACTTTAATGTCACTAAGTTTGAAGCAGCCTAATAACAACCAAAAATTAATTAATTAAATTATCAAGCAGTAATAGTGAGATTCATTCACAATGACTGCTTGATATAAATAAATAAAAAAAAGAATTTTTTTTTTAAATTGTGAAAGTGTAAAAAAATAAAATAAAGTGTAAATAAATGTAACAAATTTAAAATTATATATTTTTATACTATCAGTAATATACACATTAACCCATTACAATGAAAATCTTTAGCTGAACTGCAGATTTGTTTTTCACCCTAAGGGGTTAATTTTTTTTATTTCACCCTCGCATGACAGTGATGTATGCCGCTGTCATTAAGTGTCACACTTAGTGACATTGTATGCCAGATGACCACTTTTAGCTTTTAGAGAAAAAAGATTAAAATGTTAGGTTTTAGTTTTAGGCTGAGAAGTACAGAAAAATGTCTACAATTCTAGGGATGTGAGGTTTTTCCAAATAAATGACAAATAAATGAATGTATTTAATGCATTTTTTTTAGCTGGGCTGTTTTTCAAAAAAAAATACTACAAATCAAAACTGATGAAAGTGTTTTCTTTATGTTTTTTCCTCTTTTTTTATATTTTATATGTCCAAAGTGAGGCGTTAGACACACATATGTGATATAAATATATAGTCCTATCTGTCCTCTAAAAAAACAATATATAATATGTGTGGGTGCACTTTGTAGGAAAGTATATTACTGATGTGGAAGAATCACACAGCAAACATGTCCAAAGTGTCAGTCATTTACGAACAGAAACTAAAAACAAGCTCAGCCATGTAGGGGTTAAAAGTCGTTTTGTCTATTTTCTGCCCTATAGGTTATATATTGAACAGTTCCTCCTGCAAAACCAACTTTCTTTGTGTTTTCTTCATCTCACAGGTGGATGGAAGTGATTCGAAGTGCCACAGACTCCATCAGTCGCTCACGCCTCTTGAGCCACAAGGAGTCTCATTTGTACTGAAGTGATAACATTACCCTCCTCCAGAATCCCAGCCGCCTTTTAGCAGGAATTTCATACCAGCCCTTGGAGTTTTGTAAGGCCAGCTGCTCCACACAGGACAAGAGACTGCCTCTTAGTGACTTTTTCAGCTTTGTCGGGACAGATATCTTTTTAAACTTTTTTAAGACCATGAACCCTTTCCTGCTCTGAATTAACCCATCGCTGACCGCAGGTAGTTGGTCTCATCCTGTACAAAACATTTTGACAATTTGTTTGAATAATGTGTGCCAACATTAAAAACCTGTTGTCTCTAGTATAGTGACAAATGATTAATCTTGTATTCATATTCCTGGTTTTTAAATGTACTTTTGAATTCAAACACGTGTGTGTGTACACATGCAAAAAAAGGTCAATGGTTTTTCTTTGTTTTTGTTTTTTTTAAGTTATAAAGCTTTCTTCAATGCAATATTCATGCAGTATAGCTGTTTTTTTCCATAATGGTTTACATACATTCAAAGCACTTTAATCACCTCAGTTGTGAAAGCAAAGCAGCAGAAACAATAGTCCTAGAGAGTTCTAGAGAGTAGAAATAGAAGACTTTGCATTAGACCGTTTCTTGTTCTCTGTCGGTATTATTTTTGACACATTTTATTTTCATTTTTGCATCGCAACCATTGCTGTATAATGATTGTATAATTATTAGACTATTTCCTGTCATGGAGAAGCATTGCAGTAAACTTTTTATCCAAAAACACCAGTGTGCTTGCCTACTGCTGTTTAGTTAAATCAAGGTTCATTTCAGATTTTACATTGGCCAAGTAGACTACATTTTTCATTATTAAAGGGAAATAATGGTTTTCAGGCAGTTTTTTTTTAAATGAATACATTTGAGCCATTTTTATATCTAGTATAGGTAGTTTTTTTCACTACATATACAGTGGCTATAGAAAAGAATCACCTTCCTTTAAAATAATCACATTTTGTTGCTTTGCAGCCAGAAATGAAGACAGATACAGTGTTTGTTTTGTCCAGCTGTATTTACTCGTGCAACGTATCACACCAACATGTCAGAAAAAAAATTCAAAAACAGAATCACTGCATTGGAAAAAAGCTCATAAACTCAATCAGGTGTAGCTAGTCACCTTCTTAATGGCACACAAAGCCATTTGACTTTCAACTGTGATCAGCTGTGGGGGTCATTTTGATTAGCTCGGCATGAAAAGAGATTTCCTGGAGCATTTCAGTCCCTGGTAGTGCAACTGAAGCATGCATGCAACTATGGGTGGCAAGGCACTGTCAAAATATCTCTGGGATAAAGTTGTGGACAAGGCACAAGTCAGGAGATGGATACAAAAAAAGGTCAAAGGCCTAGAAGCAGAGTGATGTCTATGACAGTTATCACCAAATGTAACTTCTTGAAAACCAATAAATCATATGGCTTAGTTCTGCTTTAACCACTTGAAGTCCGCGCTGTTAAACCCCCTTCCAGTCCAGGCCATTTTTCAGTATTCAGCGCTGCGGTACTTTGACATTTATTCCGTCATGCAGCGCTGTACTGAAATGAATTTTATACCCTTTTTTGGGGACAGATAGAGCTTTCTTTTGGTGGTATTTATTCACCACTGGGGTTTTTATTTTTTTACTACGGGCGGACGGCAAGAGGTTAAGGAGCACAGGTTTCAGAGACAAATGGGTCATACTGCCACCTACAGATTGCATTAGATACCGGGGGGAAAAAATGAATACTCCCAGCATACCTTGGTTTTGTAGAAAAGCAGTACTAGGAGTAAGATGACAAACACTATCAGGCCCAAAAAACAATAGAACTGGGGGCAGCCTTCAGCTTAAAGAGCTGCCTGAAGGACTGTATGTCTGGAGCTGGTATCGGGTGAGGCCTAAACATCCACCCCTTAAAACTTTGAGAATATGTGCATAGCGGACGGACCAGGTGGCAGCCTTGTAAATCTGGGAAACGGTTGCCTGATGCTGAAAAAGCCCAAGAGGCACTTACACATCTATTAGAGCAGTGGTTCTCAACCTGTGTAACCTCAGGACCCACATTTGTCCTTGGTCATGAAGTCGCGACCCAAGTCGCACCGCATTGGAACGCACGGCATTGAGGTACCGCACGTTCCGATGCGGGCAATCAAACTGTGTACAGGAGATGCGTTTGGGGTGCCGTTCAAATGAATGGCAATGCAACACAACTCCCACACCAGAATTTGCGGTAGGTGCGATTTTTGCGTGGCACAATGCAGTAATCGCAATGGACTGTGCAATTAACGCTCTGTACTAGTGTGAACGGACCCTCAAAAATACTGTCAGACACACACAACCACAGACACAATCTCTCACACTCACATACACACTTCACAATAAAATACATTTGATTTCCTTTTTTTAACTACCGGCCAGGAGCTCTCTCGATCTGAGCGGGCGTCTCTAGACGTCCGCTCAGACACGCCCCCTTGCGCGCGTCGTCAGGTGCGCGCATTGATGGCGCCGCGACCCACTGCAGAAGGGCTCGCGACCCATGAGTTGAGAACCACTGTATTAGAGTGAGCTTTAACAGGGAAGGGTGGAGCCACCCGATTCTTAAGACCATAAGCCACCGAAAAATGTGCAGTTCCCCTTTACATCAGGAATGACAAAAAGAGCCATTGCTTCTATTAGAAAGACAGACTCTGAGAGGTAAACCTGCACAACATGATCTACATGCGAGCAATGAATGGACATTTCCTATTTGATGTACTGGAGTCAGAGAGATGGAAGAATGATATCCTTTTTGAAATGAAGGCCACAACTACCTTTGGAAGGAAGGAAGGAAGCTATAGGCCTTATGTCTAAACCAGTGAATGGGAGACTAGCTGTCTTTTAAATAAGGTCACAAGAGGCAAGCTTTTGCCCTTTGATGTTTCTCTGTGTCAAATGCTGATCCTTTCCTCGCACCAGGTGAAATAAGCCTTCCCTGTGCAATAGTAGACCTTGCAGCAAGTAGCCTTTCTAGCTTTTAACAGTGTAGGAATTACCAATTCAGAAAGCCCGTCTCTCGAGACCTGGGCTTCAACAGCCATGCTATTAAAGCCAGCAACCATCAAACATAGTGGCAAATTGTTACTTGGGATAGGAGATCATGGGGTGTCTGATAAGGTCAGAGCACCATATCCATATGGAACAGCTCAGAGCTTTTAAAATGACAGGCATGCCATCCACATTGATCCTTCGGTGCGGATGCCGAAGTTTCATCCACAACTCATTGCCGCTCAGAATATGTGCTTACTGTTCCCTCAATAGGAGGTCATCCAGATATCCCATAATGGGAATGGCCTGGGAGGCTGTGACAGACCTGGGGAATTCCAAACTTGGCCTGACTTAAGTCTGACCTGGGAGTAAAAAAGGAAATTTGAGGGGGGAGGTGTCTTCCCTACTTGAGGTTTAAGGTTCTTAAATTGGGCCAAACAAGTACTCTTACCCCTGTGACATCCTTTTTGATGGCGTCTAAAGCAACTCCAAAGAGATATTCAGCAAAGCTTTTTGCATTGCTGTTCTGCAGACCAACATTTCAGCTCAAGAGCTCTCTGCATATTCACTGACAGGAAACCTATTTGGGAATGAAGATGGGCAATATCAACTAATTCCAATACTCCATAGTGTAGGACTGTCAACATGAGCTCTAAGCATTCTACAGATAATGGTCAGAAAGGATAATGGATAGATCCTCTAACATGTTTACTCCATTCCCCTACGGTTTTGACCAGCTAACATTGTAGCCATGGCTGGTTGCAAAGCAGGGCCTGCTAATGAAAACAAGTGATGGAGACATTTTTCCTTTTACGGTTCATGGCTCACTAATAGATATTAGGTGTCACATACAAGAATGTGCTAGCCAAGCCTGATTGAAGGGCTATGGAGGGGTGTGGTTTTGAACATGAAATGACAAAACACTACAGGAATGTATGATCTCATATAGTGGTCTCATGCTTAAAAGTTAATACTGTTTCTTAGGACTACCAATTGTTCCTGTAAATAAGGTAGTCTCTCAGCAGATCTCCTACAGGCACGCATCTTGGTTGATCTTCTGCCAAGCTCTTGGAAATTGGTGGGACTCACCTGAAGAAACGCACGTTCTTCTTATCTGCAGCTAAGTTTCTTTTTAGAATTTTTAAAATTATATTGTTACATCTATTTGCCATTAATTTAATGTTATATACAATTTGATTGTACCTGTAAATGTTTGTTATCTCTCTTTGCACATTTCAAAACAAAGCCCTAAGAACATTTTAACTATTATACTAGTGATTAAGGACAAACTTTTGGAAACAAAGACAGGTTTCAGAGCAGATGCAACTTCCCTACAGAGCTACAAGTATCCAATATTCTGGAGATCAGGGCAGCATTCAAGGCTCTGACAGCCCCTTCCAGTGGTCTTTAAAGAAAACCAGTTGTCCTAAGAATGGAGGACAAATCAGCGGTAGTCTGTATACAGAGGCAAGCAACACAAATGACAAACGCACTCAGCAATTCGTCACCGGCTATACAGTAAGGTGCACACGAAATGGGCTTTAAACAGTAAAAGAGTAGAAAGGCATCATGGCACACTCACAAGTCATCATGTAAAACAACTTGTCTCACCACTAAGGATAATAACAGAGGTTTGGATACACGTCTTCTGCAGAGGATGTGAAAGCCGCACTGCCGCGCCAAGGCACCTCTTATAGTGCGGTCCTAACTCTAAACTATGACAGTCTCCATCTTGGAGCACATGGGGGCAGAAGATTTCAAATTGGGTGCAGGTTTGTCAGGAGGAAGCCCGACCTCCTTAATATAATAACTATTATTAACCTTAGTGGTGAGACAAGTTGTTTTACATGCGGGCTTGTGAGTGTGCCATGATACCTTTCTACTGTTTTATTGTATACAGAGGCAGGGGCCTACACAGTCTTTTCTGAGGGAGGTGGCACCAATCATGATGTCGGCAGAGAGGAACCTGGTAGAGCTAACAGCAGTTTATCTCCCAGCTCACCAGAATCAGGAAGTGGATTATCTCTCCAGCTTTTCCAGACCACAACGAATGGTCTCTTCACCCCACAATCTTCAAGCAGATTGTCCAATAATGGGGTTGTCCTCAAATACATCTCTTTGTGGATCCACATATAATGCATTAGACTATCTGGCATAAATGTATGGAATTTGCAGCAGATTTAAATATATACCCGTCTCTCTACAGCCACCTTCTCATTTTATTTCTAAAATTGTCTCGCCTTTTCACCTGGCTAAGGAATTTCTGGTAGATACGCAACAGCAAAGACTGCTGGAGTTGGATGTATCGAAAACACTTCAAAATTACCATTAAGCAACAGATCACTTCAGAGCAGCATGGATGATGAGGACCACAAAGAGAGCATACAGGGCAGTGGGACATTATCCTTCTACTTCGGTGAGGGTTCATTAAACCAGATCTATGGCAGCTTGATGGGAAGCACAAGTCAGAGTATCGATGGAGACGATCTGTACGGCGGTGAGCTTGTCCTCGCATCATAATTCCTCAGACATTAGAAAGTGGATTCGCCTTGACTACTGTGTACTTTGGCAGAAAGACTTTCTAGACCTCTATCGATATCTCTCATCTCCGTAAAATGTTTAGCATCCTTCCCACCCTGTCAGCTCATTATTTATCAGAGGTATGCTGCCATGT